ATATATATATATATATATATATATATATATATATGCTACGATAACTATTGCCACAATTCTTGGACCCTGGGAAAATCAGCCTCGAACTTTTGCGGCACGTTCGACCCCAAGATGTTTTTCATGCTCACCTCAGCCCATCACCGACGGGGGACAAACACAAAACAGCATGCAGGTTGCGCCTGATTTTGTTGATAAAGAAGCTCCAGCAACCTTCTCGCGAGTCTGAAACTCCAGCAGCTTTCGCTAGAGGCCGAACGGAATTCAACAATTGGTCTTTGTCGTCTCCTTCGTATAAATCAGCAATATCCCCAGAAGCGAGTAGATCGTTGACATAGACCAAGAACCTTTCATTTGCAATTTGTGCGTCGCTCAGCAGAAACACCACCCCCTCATCTTTTAGAGCTGCCCTGGAATACATTGTCTGCGAGAAGCACAGATCTCAAAGCTGCAGTGGACCGCAATCTGGTTTCAAGGCGGCCACGAGCACTGCACTCCTTGCCATAAATTGCTACACCTACTCTGCCTACCAGACAAGACGAGAGCAGTACTGCTGGACATTGGCGGTACGTGGATCACTTCTAGAAATTATTATTCGTCAGTGGAAACTATTGCGTCTGCGAGCATGCTGCTCAGGGACAGCTTATTTGGTGGTGCGCTCGGCATATCCCTACTCGAATGTCATTTTTTAGGTCTCGAATATCATATGTGGACGATATGCAAAGTTGATGAGTTGCAAAGCCACTAATGAATGACGAGAGTCTCGTCAATGACTGTTTTCCGGAACCTCCGACGCCCACGACAAGAGCATGGCCTGCTCGGTTGTTGATGACCCTACAAATCCTGCAGACGTGGTGCATAGCGTCGTCAAACAGCACCAGGTCCATTGCGGGGTTCAGCTCATTGTATTCGTTTAAAGCTCCCCGCAGAATCGTTGCAAGCTCGTCCATTGAACCAATCCTGTCGTATGCTGGGGCGCAAAAGATGGAGCATATAAAAGCATAAAATTCTAGAGCACGTCTCCCAGTACAGTGGTTGGGTGCATTGTTCGGCTTAGGAAATTAGTTTAAAGGCCGAACTCTTTATTTATTGCCGTGCTTGTTTGACCTCCTATTCCATCTTTTCCAAAATGAGCGAAAATTGTCGCCTCTGGATTCTTCGCTTGTATGACTTTCCCAATGTTGAACTTCCCAAAGTTTCTTTTAGCGCAATCAGCCGCAATCGCTCTGTATTTTTTTCCGTCCTCGGGCGTAACCAGGCGGTCGCAAAACGTTCTCTCGCACTCATGGAGCCAAAGAAGTACCAGCTTTTCCGGTTCCTGTGAAGGCCACTCAGTCCCGAAATCCCTCTTCGTTAGCGGCCTAAGTCTACTCTGATGACGAAGTTAATGAAAGGGTGCTCAGTTGGTGGAAACTGAAGGCTGTGTTGAAGTATGGGGTCATGGAGGACTGAATAGATCATCATAGTGAAGAGTTTCGTTTTGCAGCCAAGAAAAGCCATCACCTGCAGATTTTGAGGAGGCATTGACAAAATTCCTTGGAACACATTTGTTAGGTGCCGCATATTGAACTCGTAGTGGAAGTTGACGGCGGTTTTCCGGAATGCTTGTACCACCTGAGCGTCAGTCAGCCGCACGTTCTGTGGAGTTTGCTCACGCTGTTATGTAGCTTGCTAGTAAACAAGGCATGATATGTGTCAACTGTATAGCATTAGCCCCCTAGTTGCTAACTGCAAGGACAGAGGATATACATCTCACCTCGGTATATATACCCATTGTTGCTTTGATCACTGGCATTACTTGCTCTTTGACAGCCTTCCGAAAGTTTCCCACATCAAAAAACCCATTCATTATTGAAGCGTAAATTGTGAACAGGGACGTCAATTCAGGCATGGGGACATTTAGTACCCAGAAGTGACGGCTGAGGCGGGGGTTCACGACAAATGATCCTGCTGTAGGATTCATTGCCGCCAGAACTTGCGTGTTGGTGATATCTTTCATCTGCATCTTGCTCCTGTCAAGCCAATGCTGGTAGTCCATATGCTGCCTCAGTAGTGCAATCGCACTTTGCGTATTGTAAGGGTCAAGTTGAGGCATGTTCAAGTCGTCTAGAAAATATACCAAGTGTACCCTGGGAAGCCGCAAGCAATGGAGAAATCGCTAAAAGTGTGCCGAGTGCAGTTCCTACAGTAGCAGAGCGCTGATTCCAACTAGACAGATGCTGTTACACTGACTTTCCCGGGGGACCGTATTGTCTGCCAGCCTTTTTTTCAAGGGGCTGTTCTAGAAGTGTTTGCAACAGCGTAGAATCGGTATAGAAGTTAAAGTTGACCGAAAAGGACGAAAAGGTCTCGGAATCCAGGGACGCCAGAGCTGTTCGGCACAACTGGGTTTTGCCGCACCCAGCAGAACCTATGCACATGACTGGAGCATGGATTTTTAATATAGTTTTGCAAAAGTGGAGCATTGAGACTGTTTCAGCCGTTGGAACTGATATGCTGTCAATGGCTTCCGTTCCTGTGAATTGCAAAGTGGGGACTTGCGATTCCCAGCTTTCAAATTTTGCCTGAAAAGCAATCATCGTCTTTGCCCCTGACATTCTCTAAAACCGACATTGGACTTCCGAAACAACATAACAACAGCGTTCGACAAAGTCTGTGCTGTCCTAGGCTCAATTCATTGGCGGTCCATGATTTGTCAACGATTGCGCGGCTTGCTTCACCGTGATAATTAGGAACTCACAGTGTCGACGAAGTACTCAAAGATTGAACCTTTACTCGGAAATTTGATGACCTTCCACTCTGATCGCCACCAGTTATTGAACTGCCTTCTATAGTCAATTCCATCCTTCTCCTGTAGACTACCGCCTGCAGCCCAGACAAGGCAGAAGACGAAAGCGAACTCAGGAGCCTGTGGCTCTTCGGGGTAGAGTCCTTCAAGCTGAGAGCAATCACAAACACATCTGTACGCTCGCAAAGATGTTCCTCTTCATTCGTAGTGCTACTCTTGGGATGCTTGTGGCATTTAAACGTACACTTGCCTGTCGACTTTCCATCACAGATTCCAAACACTCACCATATTGCAGAGTGCAACTATAATTTGCAGGTTGTAGACTTGGACGCTAAGCTTGCACTGCCTCTCAACAAATTCAAGCGTAGCAGGGCAGTATTTATCAAATAGTTTAGCTACATTTGCCTTGGTTGCTTCAGACCAGCCCTGACGCTGTAACCAGCTTTGCACATAACTCCTCCATTGTTCCCCTACATGCAGAAACCGAATAAAACCAAATTTTGTGCTGGAGATTTCCTTCAAGGGCAAACTAAGCAGCGAGAGTCTGCTGTATACTCGTCAACTCCCAGTGATCCATCACGTTGGTATAGGTGCCAACGTGGTGAAGGGCGGACGCACCTGAGGTGTCGCTGACAAAGATTATCCCTGCTCTGGAAACAGTGGCTGGCGAGGCGAAGTTTAGATCCCGTATTTCGAAGATCATACGCATATGATTCTTTAAAGGAATACGTTCATTTGAGGCGAGAGTGAGGATGCGGTTGTCGTCCATCACAGAGTTCATGGACTCAATCCAGTTGGCATCCAAATCCCCATCCAGCACTATCCATTTTGGCAACGTATCCGGGATTTGCCCTAGTGAACGCATTGTCTTTGATAATATGCCGTCTTGCCACTCCCGAGTTGACATCTTTACGTACCTGCAAGCATGGTGGCAGTGCATTCACGCCAATGTCATGCACATTTACCAAAGAGCGGCTCCTGCATTTTTCCTGCAAAGTGAATGATATACTGACACCACCAAGAATGAAGCTATAGCAAAACAGAGGCAGCCTGGGCCACCACTGCATTGCAATATTTAAACTGTACGTAGGGCCCTTGCAGTTGACGAAACTCGAGCACATATCGACACGTATTTTGTGCCCTACTCTATTCTTTCGGAAACCTTCAGTTTGGCCAAAGATAGCCATTTTGGAAGGTCACCTTACCCATAGAGCTCATCGGTGTTCACAGACTTCGGATTAATATCGACAATGGTAGTTTTGCTTCCAAGAGCATCTTGAGTCTTTGCGAGCACTTTCCAGACCGTGCTCTTCCCAGAGGCTGGTCGTCCCATGACGAAGACGCACATGCGAATGGCAAGCAGGTCCCTCATTTGTAGGGCTTTCAGCGCCAGGCCGTCGTTGATTGTCAGACCCATCTCGTTGCATACTTTCAAAACTGCCTCAGAGAAAGCCGTATCAGTTTGCGGAGGAGGCTCAACACCAGGGAATAGGTCGCTTAGAAGTCCTGAAAGCGCAGCCGGCTTTTTGACGGTACCGTGTGTGGATCGACGGGTTTATGTTGTACCCCTCTACAACCCATGCAGAAAACAGCTGAATGCATAGATTTTTCAAATGGTGCAAAGTTGTTGTACCCTGGAATATTTTGGCGTCATCCGCTACAATTTTGGCCAGGTTAGAATCCCTCAGCGCCTTCATGAGTATTGCTTGCTCAGATAGCTCCGGCCATTGTCTCTTGAAAGTCCCGGCTACCACCAATACTGATTTGATCGCTCGAAGGCCCCAGTCATAATGCGGAGCTCTAGATAGCAAATCTTTGCACAGGGCATACAGTCGAGTAAATTTTCTGGCTAGCTCCTTTGCCTCTACAAAACCTTCGGCCATGAGCATGTTCTCGCAAATCAACTCTAAATCAGGGACGACCACTGTTATTGGCCTAAACAAGGCTTTCAGTCCTTCAGGAAGTTCAGAACGACCCAAGTATCCGGGATTCATCTGATGCATGAGTATGTCACAGAGCAAGCACTCTCTGTTTCCTTTGTATGGGGCATGCCGCCGAAGGTTGCTATTCTTGTAGCAGGGCTTCTAAAGCCCGTTAAGGTCTTATTCGTCAATCCTAGACTGTGCACCTACAGTTTGCACTTACAGTGATAAAACGTGTGCACTTACAGTTATAAACACTCCGCATGTGCGGTCCAGAGATGTTTCATCTCCCTGGATAAAAAATTTTTCTGCATTTGCCTTGATAGCATCAACCACTGACTTAAACTGCACTGAGCACACACTAAGGACTGCAGGCACCAGGCGGTTAAATTCGTCAAAGCACCCCCAGGAACCTGAAGCAGCAAGGCCCTGAGCATCACATACAGAATAAAAATTGGCTGGCGGCGTTGTGTAATGTGTAAAGTATCGGCAGCACCAGCCGGCCAAATTTGCGTCTCAGACAACAACGGCGAGTACCGATGCTAGCTTTCTGGTGCCGCCGTCCTTTGCTACCTGCATTAGCTGACCTTGAAAATATTTGCCATGGATTGGTAGTCCATTTGGTCCGAGCAGTTGAAAACATAGCATGCCTTGCCAAGAGCCGAAGCAAGGTCTTTGGTTGTTTCCGTTTTTCCCGTTCCTGCTGGGCCAGCTGGTGCACATCCCATGGAAAGATGCAGAGCCTGGGTTGCAGTCACGTAAATTCTGTCAGTCAGAGGAGTGACTACCAGGCGCGGGCCGTTACCGAGGTACTCGTAACCATAGGCAAATGCAGCATCTGTAATTCGAATGGAAACCTCTTCCTGCAGGAGCATCGAACGGAACAATAAAAAGGTTTAATTTCGTCTGTTTGATTTTGTCGTGCGTAGTGGAAACGTCTCATCTGGTTACAAGCTAAAGTGGTGCACACACCATTGTTCTCTATTGTAAAAACGAATGCCATAGACTAACCGTTTGTGTATCCCAGAAATACTTTAGTTGTGACTGCCACTGGAAGCAATCAACGGAGTTGGCGTGTTCGTCCAGAAGACGCTGTATGATGTCCCTTCCATGCGTGTCAATTGTGATTATGCACATGATTTTTTGCCTTAGCGCTGGGGTTAGAGAGCCCTGGACAAGTTTAATTGCTGATTTGAGCTCTTCTACATGTTTCTCCATGCATTCTTCCATTGCCGTTGGAGTCTAAATGAAAATTCACAGTAGAATCAACTACACCGTGAATACATATGTGCTGAGGAAGCTACGTTGCCCATTGTTCGAGCTACTTTAGTGTGAGTAGCTTTGCCTTACCTCCTGCATCTTTGCAAATGCGTCTTCTACCTGGACAACCCAAGATGCCATGTTGACCAGCAGCGTGGCCTGAGCAGCTGGGTCAGCTTTTATCCAGTCGTCCTTTGAGTTCGCTGTCCAGCGACCAGCGAATGACATCTTTATGTAATGTCGGACTGTTTTGCGCATCATTGTTATGCAATCTTGGAGGTAGGACTCGACCTGCAGTGCGCACCTTTAGCCCCATCATTTCAATTATGGGGTGGCGGAGGCTGTTTGATCAAATTCGGCCAGGTGTACGAGCGGAGGTGTAAAGTGAGCAGTGTAACTTACTTTCCCCACAAACGCCATTTCTTCTGGAAGTGCTAGCTGCTCTGTGCCGACACAGGAGGTGATACCTGTAGCTACAGGTCTAGTTTGGTCCTTGTCAGTTGGTAAGGGATCCCTCCAGTCAAATTGCTGAATAGCTTGGAAGATTTTGGGCATGTGCACCATGACCGCCGGAGGGTCATTACCGTGTGAAAGGATGTCCAGAAGGTCAACCGATGACACAAAAAAGAATCGAGGAAACGTTTTGCGCTTTGAATCCATAAATTCGTTAAGCGCTTTTTCACACAAAGAAAGCTGTTTTTGGAGTTCATCAATCTGAGTTGCAATGTCAGGTAAAACGCAAAAGTCTTTGACTTTTGAGTTGGATTCTCCTTTCCTCAGAACCTCCTTCATGTTTTCGTCGATCGTCACGAAGCGTTCGGCTTCCTGGGGTAGTTCCCGTTTCACTTCTTCTGAGCACAGAAAGAGGTTTTCCAGGAAGGTCCAAGACCGCTGGACTTCTCGCATCATCTGAGTAACATCCCCTATTGTGGCCAGAAGCTTTTGCCACTTTGTTACTTCAGTCTCAAACGTTGCAAAGAACCTGAAGAACACACATTCAGTCATTCATATGCTGTTCCGAAAGGCAGGGGGAGAGGCAAGGAAGTTGACTTGGTTACTCGTCACATCAGCCGCAGTTTCCTTACAAGCACCTTATGTGAGAGCTCCAGAAATTTCAGTATGGATCAAACCCCGAAAGATCTAATTCGCACGTACTTGGAAACCATCATGTTTTGAACCAGCATCTGTTGTTCTTCTAGTAGCTCGCTGCTTTCTTCCGAAAGGGAAAGCAAATTGACGTCAGGCTGCCTCGCAGGGGTTAGCACGAAGAGGGCAGCCTCCCACGTATTTGTAAGGAGAACCAGATTTTTTTCTATGGCCTCTTCTTGCTTTGCCTGCAGCAAACACGGAAATGTGCCACCATCGCTGGTGATAAGTCCGTGATATTCTTAGCACGTATACTACCCGTGCTTGACTCTATCCAGGCTTTACGGGTCTTCTGTTGAAACTGATTCCTCGTTAAACATCAGCTCCCCTTAACTGTGATCCAATTCACTCTATAGAACCTCTTACAATCCTCATCATACCTTGTCAGTTATCTCTTCAACAGCACCCTGCATGGCCAAGAGATTAAGATCTTCAATTTGACTGAGCTTGGTTTGGTCAGATATTTCGAGCGATTTCTGTGCAAGACCCAGCAACTCATTCCAGTGACGGTCGCGCATGTACGGCCCACGGAGTTCGGTAATTAGTGGTGCAATTTGCACCCATGTCTTCAACATGCCCAGCAATCCTTGATAAGCGTCGGTCTTCTTATCCATCTGCACAGACGGTCACCCCTACGCGGCTGTCTGCTGTTGCTGCACGTTACTGGCGCCACTTCCAAACCTTGGCAAGGAACCAGGATGACTAGTTAAAGGCTTATCAGTCGGGCCTGACCTTCAAGTCCTTCTGCAAGCTTTTCTGCATCGCTTTTACAGCGATTTCGATTTGAACTCCATCGACATCATGCCACAAAAGCCCCCGGTATTCTTCAATCTGTTGCAGCATCGACTCTGCAACGTTCCAGAACTGAGTTACGTTCCGCAGCTCGTCTTCCATTGTAACAAGACTCTGGCGCGATTTACTTAGCAGCTCAGGAAAGTCGAAGGATGCCGCAGGGACTTGCAATGCCTGAAGCACTTTAACATGGTTGGAGCTTTGCAAAATGTTTATTTGTGCTGTAGGGGCATGGCTTCTCCTCGGATTGCAGCACTGGGTTTTGCGCAAAAATTGTTTCATACTTTCTAAAGGTATTATCCCTTACCTCCATCGTGCGTAGCAGTTCAGTGGTACGTTCTGAAACATCCTTTATTCTCGCTCTTGCCTCCGTTGGGGAAGTGCTGAACGAGTAGAAACACTCTTCCGCCTGCGTCTGTTGCAGGGCGCTTACAGAAGCGTCTAGCTCTTCTATGGCGTTTCTCGTTCTCGTCGCCTCAGCATCAAACGCATCTGCCATTTCGTGGGAGCGTTTTTCTGCAGAGGCCCTGTGTGCATCGGCAGCATCACCTCGCATTCATAGAGAAGTGAGATGGAAGAGTGTGCATGAACAGATGGGTTGCTGATGCATCGGCCCGTAACGGAATGAGGAGACCTGCACCAAGATGCTGATATGAGCTTGGAAAGTTGATCCTTAATGACTCTTTGACGGACTCAAGGGCTGATCGTTTTTCGCCTATCTTTTTAAGTGCCCTGTTGCTTGAATCCACGTTGGCACCTAACTCCTGCAGCTTCTGTAAAGCAACTTTTAACACCTCGAGGTACAGTTCGTGTTCAACCTTGAGCGTATCCACATTCTTGATGTGCTGCCGGACGTCGAGGAGGCTGCGACGGTCATCATGCTTTACTTTCGCCTGAATGATCTCATGCTCAATTAGTAGATGTTAGACTGTTTTAAATTTGGTAGAGCAGCCCTTAAGCATTCCATGGCAGATGAAGATACTCAGACTGCCTACAGCACTCTTAAGGGACTGTCAGACGCGTAGATACTTTGCAACACTGTGCACAACTTGCCTGAAGCCCCGCTTCTGTACGGAGGCAGAATTTTTCCAGCATGTTCATTGTGTTGGCAATGAAGGTGGTAACTGTAGGTCCAGCAAAGTCGTTTGCTCTGGGTCGTGGCTTCTCAACAAACGTGGCAGTGTAAGGTGAACCCCGGATCTCTTGAGGAGGACTACCATCTTGCGCATCAAGTAAAACTGATACACAGATCTTTCCTGGCCGAGGAGCTGTGTATGTGGCCAAATATGTGCCATTTCCATAGTCTCTAACGGATACTGGCAGGTAGACTGGTGGTTCCACCGGCTTGACCTCGCCCTCTTCCGAGTCAGGCTGTTCCTGGGGAACCTGCTGCTGTTGGGAACACACAAAAGCAAACAATGTGGAGTGCAGAGTCCAATGGCGCATTTCCATACAGCTCCCTGCTGAAGGGTTTAGTGCCGATATTGAGCACGGAGCTGTATGAAAATGCGCCATTGGACTCTAGGTAGGGAACATTACGTGCTATTTAGACTAGAGAAAAAGTGAGGAGACAGCAAGGCTTGCCTCCGGTTGTATGAAGGCTTTCACTACAAACGTATCCCCTCCAGTGGTTCTTTTTCCATTCTGCGCATTCCTTGCTTCGATAAAGAAAGAAGTAGGCACACCAGGAGCTCCATCAGATAGCAGTCCGGGCCCCACGGCAAGACAGCATGACGCGCAAGAATTCGCATAAAACTGAAATGAACAAAGCGAAGAAGTCAAGTCTTTGGCTCCAATTTTGACGCGAACCTCGCATGTCCGTGGGCCTGCAAACGTATGAAGTACCAGGTTCAGGTTGCCTTAGCACGCGCCAAATTGAGCGCTTAAGCGAGTCTGTGCAACAATTGAAGCTCAATTCTTTCTCCATATCGTCTCAAACTATCCTGTACCGCTCAGAAAGCACAATTTTCTCAATTATCTCCCCAAATTTGCCAGATCATTCTTTGGAGTTTCTCAGACGTATCGGATGCTATCAACCAGAGAACATGTCACCATATTTGAATCTGTTAGTGGCGCTCTGTGTGCGGTGGCTACGCACCCAGGGCAGACTTGACATTTGGTGTTACCGCATGAATTTCCGTTGAAGACACGAAAGTGCCGGGGACATCGGCGAAGAAGTCTCCAACAGAAAATCTCACAATAATGGACCCCGTTGTAAATCCGGCACCTTTAAGGATTATTGGTGTGCCTCCCGTCATCGGACCACAAGGGGGGGACAGGCCGAGGACAGCGTATGGAGGGCCCACAACAGAGGAGACGCAACATGTCCATAGGTCTCCAAGCCACTTGCCGCTCCTGAAACACATTGCACAGGTGGTCAATAAGTACGGACTAAGGTGTATCCGGGACAGCTGCATTATGACCAGGGACCTAGGACCTTCGTGTTGTAGCCCACCAGCCACCAAAGACAACCAGAGTCGAGTCTTCGGCAAAATAGGCCATTGTCGCACCCTCTCGGGGCAAGGGAAGGTCTGCAGTTGCTGCTGGCGCCTGCTGTGATGAGTTCGCGATGCTCCCTTGCCCTCTGCGTTTAAGTTGACCCGACCTCTCCACAGTCTCGCGTTGCTCTGCTGCAGCCGCGGCTGCAGAGACTGTGGTAATGAAATCCCAGTGGCATTCTTCAGCAAGCGTTAGGACACCAATATCCGAACAAAGATGTGTCTGAAACCTCCTGGGATTTTCAGACGCCTCACTTGATGCCCCTCCAAAGATAAAAAATTTCGTACTCGGCCTCGCGTGGACAAGCAACCCGCACATGTTCCAACGCGCCCCACCGCCGGGCCAAGGAGCGTCTACCTCACACCTGATTCCACATATAGACACTACAATCCTCTGGGATGTTTGAATCAGCTTCTGGAAAAGCAGATGACTTGGAATTCATCTTGGAATCCTCATTTGTCAAGCAGGCGAATTTAGCTAAGTTAAAACTGTCATTCGTCTATTTTCAGTGCCATGGCGTGATGAGTCAGAAGAGGGAAAATTTAGCACTACACCGAGTGCTGCCAAACCAGTCGCGGTTTTCCAAGTCGTAGGCAAATAGGTCGTTGTAGTTCCCTTCGCTGCTCCAACCTAAAGGCAAAACCACTACCGAAGACAGCTCAAACCCTTTTCCAACTGCCTCTACTGGTTGCATACCCTAGTCACTGGCTCAGTTATCGGGATTGTTCGGATTTTGAGTCTTACCACCAAAGACAAACATCATGTTCCCCTTCACGACTGCAGAATGTCCTTGCCTGCAAACGTAGATGAGCTCCAGCAAAACGCCCGCATTCAGCTACCACAAACCTCCAACAGAAGGCCATTCTATAATGCCTAATTTTCGTATTTTCCTCGACCATTCACTCAACCCCACCGAGGGGCAGGCGATGTGCCTGTAAAGGTGTGCTGCTGCCACGCCCAAGTATTGCAATCCAAGGACCAAACGTCAGCTAGCGCAGTTCTCTCATATTTCACTCCACCACATCCTCCAAAGACGACAACCTGAAGCCCAACCGTTGATGCAATCTCGTTATCGTGAAACTCAGCATCTTCTTGTGAAGACGAGGATTCCCACAGGCAAGCGGAATGCCCACACCGCCCAACCGGTATTTCTTGACCTGTACCGTTCGCACGGCACATCGGGAGTGTCTTAATCTAAGGACAAGATTTCATTGTATGCGACCAGGGTTCGTGGCCCCTGCGTATTTCTCCACGTTGCTGATAAGCTTGAAAACCATGTGGAAACATTTGGCAAGCTTCTTCGGGTGTTTTAGACTTACCACAGGGTTTGCTGTCGACCTGCTCAAGACTGAGAAGTTGCTGCAACGCCTCCTGGAACCCTGAGCGTTCTACCTGAAAAAGCGAAGCACATTTTACGCGTAATTCACCCATCTGATTTAGCTAACGTCGGATTTACAATGAGAGAGTCTTCATAAGGAAGCTTCGGCCATAGTAAATGCAATCGAAGTGCGCAGTCACTAAATTAAGACTTTGGGTATGACTCATCTAATGGGAACCTCGGGGAAAAATGCATTCTCCCCTCTCGTCGCTTACCTTATCGAGCGCGTCGGCAATTGCTGCCACAGCTGCTTCACTGCATGAACATCAGCACGCCACGCAAATTAGGAAGTGCTGCTAATACCATGTTGTGATCGCAATTACACTTCATGAATATGCTTACGCTGTTTTTCTAGAATCCCAGCCTCTGCAAAAGAAGCACAAAACAGGCGGAAAATGTTTGGGGAAAATGTCATTACGTCTGAATCGCAAAGACCGTTTACGTAGCTTACGGTAGCACTTCCAATCCGGCTTGTGCAGAGTATTGTGTGGGCCGATACCGCTAACCGCATTACTGTACAAGATTCTGAGTGCATTAAAAGTACTGTTCTCTAGTAGTTGTCCCCGGCGTTTTTGTCGATGGGAGAAAAGGGCTGTGAGAGAAACTTAAAACATTTTGTACTACGATAAATGAAGCATTCAAGTAGCATGTGCTCATGTTTTCTTACGTTTGGAATGCAGTGTCGACATCCTGAGAAAACAAGAGGCAAACAAAGGTGTTTCGTGACATCTTCCAAGGAGTTGTTTTGCCGTGCGCTCGCTTACAATGCGCCATGCCTTATCTGGAAGTGGAAGCAAGGGAATTGGTGCTGTTGGTACAATTTAGCTAGATTATCTGAGGCTTGCCTCTTTTGTTTCAGTGACTGATTCGTTCGTCATAGAAAATGTAACTTTCGAAAATGCTTGGCTCTCTGCATATAGTAGGAAAGGGCAAGTAACTACCCCGGGTTTATTCCTTTATGCAGGGGGGCACCATGCAGTTTCGACGTATTTAGCTAGTCAAAGGTTCTCGCGCCTTTACAGGGAAATGCACACTCCGCCGAAAGCTTATCAGTACACAGAAATCTCACTGAGGTCTAAAATCCAAGCTTCGTTTGAACAAACAAAAGGCCGATGACTAAGGCATCCCCCCCAAATTAAAAGCCGAGATCCACCGATAAAAGTTGCAGAGTGAAAACAGCGGCCTTGCGGCTGCTGACCCTCAAGCAACTGTAATCTGCACCACGTGGCTCGAGCTGAAGTTCAATATATACAAACACGTAGATTGGCAGCAACATATTATGGATATCTTCATTCCGCTACAAGCCTTTTGGTTCCCCCGACTGTCATATGAGCCATCATGTGTTTTGTAAAATGTCACTCTATATCAGAGACAAATGGCATCTGGAGCTTCGGTCGCTAGAATGAAGCGCAGCAGCTGACGTGGATTCGGGGCTTCGGAGGTTAAGTTCAAAATGTAGGCATCATCTTTTGGAGGGGAGCTTGCATCCTCAGCACCCCCGGGCCCGATTCCCCCGTAGACAACGAATGAGCCGTTGCATTCTGTAAGTGAATGCCCCCATCGGGGACTTGGTGCTCCTTCCGCAGTTAGGCGGTGCCACGCGCACCCGCGCGGCTGCGTACAGGATGGCGCAAAGCAACGTAAAACGGGTGATTAACGAGCAACGGCTAATTTTTTCTGTCTATCCTTGGTTGCTTGTAGGAGTTCATCTATTGGGAACCATATAGCAATGGTCCCCTCATAGATTTCGAATAGGCAGATCAGTGAGCAGATCTGCTAGCAGAATGGCTATGGTGGGAGTTGAAGGGCGAATTATCTTGCCGAAGACACGTAAATATCTATGCCCAGCGGGTTTTTCGGGTATTCATGTGTTTTGCACCGCTAAAGTTCACGCTCGTAGCCATAGTTTTTCCCACCATTTCTGCAAGATGTCGAGTGGGCGAAAGATACCTCCTGAGGCTTCCCGTCTCTCTTCACTGATGGCAGACTATACGCTCCTTTTTGTGTGCATTTATGGTCTGAGTGTTTTCAGTGAGTTTGAGGCATTTCAAGTACAGATCTGGCGGGGCGGCCAAAATCACACCGCTAGACCCGTAGTGGTGACCTCGGGTCGCCCACGATTTCTCTGGTCTTTTCCGTTTACCTATATGGGGGAACGGGGCGTTAGCCACCATAGTACTCTTAAATTTGATGGGTGCAATCTACCCTGCTTATTTTGGTGCAGTAGCATATATACCTCTAGCATATCGAGCTGTCGTCAGCCCCTAAAGCAGACTGGCAACCCCCTTGCAGGGTTTGGAATAAGCACTCCTAAAAGAAACTGAAATACCCAAAAATTTGTAAATCCAATGTTTCATAGTGTTTTATTTCGCCAGTTAATCCCCTATTGGGGGGAATTGGGGATCGCGTCTGCCTGAATTTCAAGCGCAAGCCCAGGGACCTGTATATCACTGCTCTCTCGCGATGTTCCTCGTCTCAAAGTTCTGTCCTGCACTGTAACATACTGGGAACCTTCTTTTAATTTCACCTAATATATATCTCTTGTGCCACAATAGGCCACAAATGCGGCGCAAGCGGATATGTCTGCCCACTACACGGCCGTCGCGAAGCATGCATTTCTTCATAGTTGTGCCGGATCCTACCAGTGAATCAGGCCTCTTTCACTCCATATGTAACTCTACTGTGATATGTGAGCTATCAAAAGAGGCTTTTTCTACACGAACTTTTTCCTGCACGACTTCATGTACGTGTGCAGCTACGCAGCTATGTGTGTGTGTGTGTGTGTGTGTGTGTGTGTGTGTGTGTGTGTGTGTGTGTGTGTGTGTGTGTGTGTGTGACCGTATGTCAGTGTGTCTGGGTGTGTCTGGGTGTGCGCGCGCATCTGCGTTTAGATTCGCTTATAAGCTCGTGCTCTGAGACATTGTGCTACAGTTCGAATCTCACGGAATTCGTGTTCTATGGTACGTGTTGGTAGGCACATTCATTCTTCACATAGGGGTCTTAGCTAATTCGCATGTATGTTGCACTCCCGGGTACGTACTTGAAGGAAGGTCAGTTGAAGCCGCTCTGGCATGCGTCCCACAAATGGTGGAAACCAAGCATCATCCTGCGCTTGAACAACAAAGCCATAAAGCTGGCTAAACAGCAAAGCAGTTTCATTTCTCCGGAGAAGTCGTTACGACGCTGGAGAAGGCAGAGGAAATAATGTAGGCATGAGGGTGAAATTACCGCCAGAGTTACAAGCATTCAGGAGGCAGCAAATTTCAGGGGATTTCTAGCAGTTTTACATTGTAGAAGAATCAGTTCAGTGGAAGGTCGCCACTCTTACAGGAACCCTGTCACTTTGCATACCTACAATGGAATGCCTACCAGCTAACGAGGTTTTGTAGTATTTACGGCCGTTGCAAAAGTAAAGAGACCAGCCGGTACTGTATTAATCGATGATCAAGTGAAGACCGTTATGCATAGAAGGGGGACAGTGCAGCATGCACCTTCGAAGCTTCGTAGCAACCAAACAACCAGTTATATTGGCAAAAACATTATTCATATTCTCTAGCTCTCGTCCTCAGGCGGTGGTGAGCTGCTCAAGCTTCGAATGCATTCCACCACGACACCTGTTCATACTGCCACTGAGACCGGCAAGTTTCTCGAGAGTCGCAACATCACATCATACGGTTCGAGCAAAACGAGTGCAGCCCAGAACAGTCAGGGCCTGCAGCACCGGCAGACATCCATCGCAAGGGCATAAGTTTTGCGCAGACATGTGAGCCATACAATGCTTAACGCTGCAAATAGTTTACACTCTCACTAGGTGTGACGTTGACAAAACACTACGTAGTCGTCTGCCCGCTTCGCGTATGTAGACCAACACAAAGCTAACATCCATATATATACATATATATATATATATATAT